TCCTGACCGGCGTGGGGACGGAGGCCGGCGTCATTAGGTACGTCGATTGGTGGACGACCAAAGCCCTCCACTCGAGCAAGCTCGAGGCCGTCTGGGACGCTACGGCGCACCAGCTCGCCATGTCCATGCGCCTCGCCCGGACCTTCGAGGAGGTGACCTCGGCGATCATGGCGGACCAGGCGGCGTTCAATGAGGCGCTCCAGTCGGCCGTCAAGCCCGGCCCGCCGAGGAGACCGACGGGGGCACCGGAGGCCCACCCAACCACCCAACGGAGGACGACCACACAGCCGACACCCCCAAGGGGAAGGGGAAGGGCCGAGGTCGCCAGCCCCGTCGCCGCCCTGGGAAGCAGCGCCGCCAGGAGCAGGACTGGGAGGACGACGGCGCCAACAAGGATTGGGGTCGTGATCACTACGACGACCGGCGCCACCCCAGAACCGCTGGAAGCAGACCGGCCGAATCGAGGGTCGCGACCAGGGCTGGCACCAGTCCTGGGGCCGCGGCCGTCAGGACCAGTGGGACCAGGACGACCGTCGCGGTGGGAAGGACCGCCGTGACGAAGGCCGCCGCTAGGGACAGCGCGGGGCCTCGCCCGATCGGACAACCACGGCGAGGTACCCGGCAGCCAATTGGCTAGTACCGTCGTCCGACCGGCACTCAAGCGCACCCGGCGGGCGCCAAAAATCATCCTGCTCTCGTTCTTCGACGGGATCGGTGCGGCCCCGCCGGCGCTGGTGGAAAATCTATTCGGTCAACCGACCCTGGCGCTGGCGTGGGAGATTGACGCCACTTGCCGACGGTTGGCGTCGGCGAGGCTGCCGTGGCTGGTCCACAGAGGCGACGTCACATCGGAGTCGCCCGGCTCCGTCGCGGCGGCCGTCAGGAAGGCCGACCCGACCGGCGAGTGCACCGTGGTGGTCACCGCCGCTCCGCCGTGCCAAGACTTTTCTCGAATCGGCCCGGCGACCGGCCACGCGGGCGAAAGGGGGAGCCTCTTCCTCCTCACCGTCGACATGTTCAACCAGATCGTCGCCGACCTCTCCGACCGGCGGGTAGCGTTCCTCTTCGAGAACGTCGTGATGGAGCCCGCCGACGCCGCCAAGATCAGCGACGCCCTCGGCGTGCAGCCGGTCCTGGTCTGCGGGTCGGACTTCGGCTGGATTTCCCGGCCCCGACTATGGTGGATGTCGGCGGACCTCACCGGCGCCATGGTGGATCCGGCGTCGGGCCGACCGCTTCAGTGGTCGAAGCAGGGCTCGTACCGCCGACTCCGGCTCGAGGCCCCGAGACAACCGGCGGACGAGCTCACCGAGGCCGGCCTCTCCTTCCACCAGTCCGTCGAGTCCGGCAGGTTGCGCCTCCCGTGCTCCACGACACCGGCTGAAGACGCCGGCGGGAGGCAGCCCCCGAAGAGGGTTCGGCAGAAGCTTCCCGAACCGGCGAAGGCCCGCTGGGCGGCGGACGGCCGACGGTTCGCCCCTTGGCACTACGTCGAGGAGGCCATGATGCATGACGACGCGGGCCGCCTCCACAACATCCCGGCGGGTGTCAAGGAGCGCCTTCATCACATTCCGTCGGGTTACACCCAGGCCAGCTTCGTCGACGACACCGCCCGCCACCGCGTCATCGCCAACGGATGGCACTGGGGGGTAGCCCGCCGCCTGCTGGCGATCATTGTGGCCTTTTCCGTCGCTTCCTCATCGACGGCAGCACCGGTACCTGAGCCACGTCGGTCAACCCTCCAGTGGGCAGCGGAGCAGTTCGGCGGGGGACCGGTGCCGATGGAGCCACCGCCGCGACACCGACCGGACATCGACCTCCCCGACGACGACCCGGACCTACATTGGCAGCTGTCGGCGTCCCTGCGGCATTGCACGGTGACCCGGCGGCCCGATCTGGAGCCGGCCTTGGAGAGGTGCTACAGGACATCTCCCACCTCGTCGACGACATGGAGGACCACACGCAGCGCTGGCTGGAGCAGCGGTCGCCGTCGGTCAGATCGACATACTCGACACCGGGCAAGGCGAGACCGACGCAGATCCCCGTCATCCTGGAGTTGCTCCGCATCGTCGGCTACCCCGACGTCGCTGGCATGCAGGAGGACCTGACCGACGGCTTTGACATGTTGGGCGAAATCCGCCGAGGCCCGGGGTGGCGGACCAGAACCGACGAGAAGTACTCTAACCCGGCGTCGATCGAGAACTTCGCGTCGGCGAACTGGGAGTACATCAAGCGGCGGGCGGCCACAGCCAACGTCGGGGAGCACACCGACACCCTCCTCGCCGAGCTCGTCGAGGAAGTCCGTCTCGGCCGGGTGGTCGGCCCAACCCGGGCCCCCGACGGCTGGAACTTCAAGACGACGGCACTCCTGGACAGGCCGGGGGCCGACCGTCTGGTCCCGCCGCCGCCGGGCCAGGCCTTTGCCGCAGCCTCCTTCCCCGTCGTGCAAGAAGACGAACAGGGAGGAGCGAAGGTCCGTCGCGCCGAAGACTGGCGCAGGTCCGGACACAACTCTACCGTCAGGGCCCACGACGTCCCGACGCACCACTTCGTCGACGACTTCGTGGATATGGTCCGGCGAGTGGTTGACCAGGCGGGGGGGCCGGCGACACTGGCGAGGATATTCGGGCACGACCTCCTCAACGCCTACCGCCAGTGGCCGGTCAAACACCCGGCGCACTCCGGCACCTTCATCGCGGGCCCAGCCGGCGTATCCCTCTGGTTTCATATGGCGATGTGCTTCGGCGCCGCCGCGTCGGTATGGCACTTTAACCGGACAGCCGACGCCCTCCAGGCCATACAGCGGGTGCTCCTCTGGATACTGGCCGGCCACTTCGTCGACGATTTCAACGGCGTCGACATGGACGAGTCGGCGAACTCGGCCTTCCGGGCGATGGCCGACTTCTTCGAGCTCGTCGGGTTGCAGACGAAGCCGTCCAAGGCCCAGGCCCCGGCGACTCAACAGACGGTCCAGGGGGTCCTCGTTTCCGTCGAGACCGACGCGGTGGTCCTGCAGCCGACCGCCCGACGCGTCAAGAAGGTCCTGACGACGATCGACGCCGCACTGGCCAACGACGAGCTCACGCCAGATGTGGCGAACCGTCTGGCCGGCAAGCTCAACTTCATCACCCAGTCGACCTTCGGCGCCCTGGGGAAGGCAGCCCTCCAGCCCGTCTATTCAAGGGCACACGACGCGGCGGCCACGTCGGCCACGTCGCTGTCGACGGGCCTCCGGGCAGCCCTCACGTCTCTCCGGGCCCTGCTGGCAGACATCCGGCCGAGGAGGGTACCCATCATAGACGACGGGGCACCGGCGGCGATCATCTACGCCGACGCCTTCTACCAGCCCGGCGAGGTGAGACACAAAGCCGGGCACATACCGGCAGAAGTCGGAATCCGGCCGGGGACCCGAGGCCGGAACGGCTGGGGCTTCGTCGTCCGCATCGGTGCCCTCGTCTTCTACGACTGTGGCGTGGTGCCGGCCAAGTTCCTGGACATTTTCGCCTCCCGTCGGGCGTTTATCTACGTCCTCGAGATCGTCGCCCAGGTTCTGGCGCTGGTCACATTGTCCCGTCGGTTGCCCCAGAGGTGGCTGGCCTTCAGCGACAACGTCGCCGGCCAATGGGCACTCACCAAAGGGTACGGGAAGGACCCCGCCGTCAACGGCGTCTTGGCGGCCTTTTGGTCCACGGCGGCTCTGTCGACTTCCGTCGGGTGCCGTCCAAAGCCAACGTCTCCGACGCAGGAGGAGACCTTCACACGGCGGAAAGTTCCGGCTGGGAGCGGGTGCACACACCCGTCGAGTCGATCCTCAAGGTGCTCTCCCGGGCCGCCGCCGACCTAGACTTTGCGGTGAATGACGCCGCCGACGAGCTACTGAATCTGGCGGTGTGAGCGGGCTAAGCCGGCGCAGAGTGGGTGAGGGGAGCGCCGGGCGGCAGCTAAAAGCGTCCCCCGGCGCCGGCTTGCCTCGTACTGGCGATTGCGACGGACCCGGCGCGAATGCGCTTCAAACCATCCAAAAAGCAAGGGTTCGTCCGTCGTAGCTCTTTTGGGTACCCGTCGGGGAAAACGGTTGTCGTGTAGCACATTTATGTGCGTAGGGACAACCGTCGAATCGACGTGGATGCTGCAGCCGCTGTCTGCTCCACGTCCCCCGACGTTTTTCAGCTCCCACCCTCACCGCCCTTATTGGGTGATTTATTTTTTATTTGGAGACCTTCGGGTCGTCGCTCGCTGGCGGGCAGCGGGCCGGGGCAGCTAAAAGCGTCCCCCGGCGCCGGCTTGCCTCGTACTGGCGATTGCGACGGACCCGGCGCGAATGCGCTTCAAACCATCCAAAAAGAAAGGGTTCGTCCGTCGTAGCTCTTTTGGGTACCCGTCGGGGAAAACGGTTGTCCCGCTACCACTGCTAGTGCTGCTGATGCTGCTGCTGCTGCTGCTGCTGTCGTTTTCACTCATTGTTCCTACTCCTGCAGCTGCTACCGTCGCTGCTTTGCTATGATCGCGATACTGGTGACTATGCGGTGTGATATGTTTCTGATATGTTCTGGTCATCACCGTCTGCTGCTCGAATGTTGGATCATGGCCACCGCCATAGCGAGAACTGCCGATACACGACCACGGGGACATGACGGAGATGACTGCTACTATCCGCAAGCTCCTACTTGCGGTTGCACCTGATACGGCGACAAGTACGGCGCGACTACTTCTACTACTGCTGCAAGTGTTGCTGCTGCTACTACTACCAGTACCAGTACCAGTCCCACTCCCACTAATGCTAACGCTACCGCTACCACTACCAGCACCACCAGCACCACCAGCACCACCACAACCACCACAACCACCACCACCACCACCACCACCACGACTACTACTACTGCTACTACTACTGCCTCTAGTTCAGGGAAGCGGGGAAGGGGTGGAGGAAAAGAGTGAGCGTGGGGGAGTTCAGGTTTGCGGGGCGGCCCTCGGAGCAGATGTCATGGTTTCTGAGCCAGGCATGACGGGCTTTACGGAGTATCTGCAGAAGGCATGGTTTTGTAACTTTGGACGCTCTAGCATGTGTTGCGTTTGGACGTTGGGCAGGAATGCTTTTTCTGGAGGGCGCATCCGCCTCACAGAAGTGTCCGAAGGATCCTTTTCTTGAAACGTTGCTTGGCTAGCTTGGCCTACTGTCTACTGTGCACCTTCAAGACACAGGACATAGCTGTAAGTAGCAGAGTAGCAGTTGCCAGGAAAGATGTGTTGACACGCATCCATCAGCTTGGCCACATGGCGAGCGACGCTATAGACCTGGTTGACTGCACCGCGTACTTGGCCGATATCAAGGATGCAGCCGCAGTTCGACGAGCTTCTCGGATGCAGTGGCCAAGCTGGACACTATGCTTCTTGACCGGGTTTTCAGCGGCTGAGGCCATCGCAGATTTCTACGCAGACGCCGTAGTTCGACCTGCCACAACGCTGGTGCAGGCCGCCGCATATGTTGTACGCGGGGCTTCATGGCACTTATGAGACCACTTTCACGCATTGGGCCTTGCAGGCTGGCGGGCTGCCCGACGGTAAATCCGTACTCCTCCGCTGCATCGGGACGATGTCAGATCCAGCATTCGCGAGGATTTCGGTTTCATTCTGTCATATTCAGCAGTGTAGAAACACACACACACACACACACACACACACACCATCATTCTGACCCCTGACATTCTCTTTTCGATGCGCAGTTGGGCAGGATGCCGCCAGTGTCTATCGACGGTGCCACCATCACCGACAGAGTCTTGTCTCGCAGAAGTCGTTTCGACCTTGCTAAATGCAGGCTCGAAGCCAGGCTGTGTAGCGAGTGTAGTGTGTAGCTGCTACCCAATAGTACAGACAGCCTCAACGACGAAACACTCTTATCGGAGTTCGCGGACCCCATGCTTCGAGCTCATGATGCTTTCACACGTCCTTTGCTGACCGCTGTGCTGCATTCTTCAGCACATGCGGCAGATGTCAAGAGTTTGCTGCTGAGTCTGTGGGGTGGCGCCTGCTTGCAGTGCGAGAGCATCTCATCCACGATGCATTTGCTCCCCGGAACCGTCCCACATCTGTGCCATCAAGACATATCAGTGGCTCCTTGCAGATCACTGATGAGTTTGTGTTGTTCCTTCCCATGCTGAGACATGTGTCTACTACTAGTTGCTGCGAGTTGTGGCACGCTGGCTGTTCGTGACCACTTCTGCATTACATGCCTCAACTTCAGCGGCCAGCGCATGAAGACATATGTCATCGGAGTCTTCCTGAGATGGCCATGTCTTTGAGGATTTGTTTTTACGTCGGCGTTGCTTGGGCGCAATTCATCAGGTCGGGGGTCCCGGAGCAGGGCCAAAATGCAAGACATGCCGAGTCGATTTGTGGGTTGCAGGCTCGGATGCCTTTGATGGGTTGCAGCGCGTGCTCAAAACTGCAGACGTCAGTCTCAAGGAGCTCTGTTGGCAAACTCTGTAGCAGCTTCACACTGACTTGTCATGCTGCCAGGAGGTTGTCACATGCTCCTTCTATGTCAAGGATCAGGCACACATGTTCGATCTCTTTTCAGGCTTCTACGAGGCCTTCAACAAGGACCTGCCATACTGAAAGGGATCTCATCTTCAGACGTGCTGTCACCTTTCAACACGAAGGAGAATCCACCTCCTCCGACACGCGGCGAATATCAAGCCGACACCGTTGCCTGCCAAGAAAGCCTTGGCAGTTTCGAGTCTCTTCTTCCACTGCCTGCAAAGATTTTGTGGCTGACGAGGAATGCGACGACTGCCTGGTTGCCATGAAATGCGTGGCCGCTCGTTTGCCACCGGTCCGTGCCCTAAGCGTGGATTTGGTGGCAATATGAAACGCCACATACAGTTGTCAGCATGACATGGGCTTGTGAAGTCGTATCGCCGAGGCCGCAGCATCCAGTGGGCTCGGAATGAGTGGTGTGAATTTGGTAATTTAATGCTGCGCCCTTTTGCTTTCGCTTTGAAGAAGGTCACTCCCTGGAGTACAGAAGAGACAGGCGAGCTGCCAGCAGAGAAAACGCAAGGGCTGTTGAATGGAGGAGACAGATGCTTTAGGCATGCAACTTGGTACGGCCGCAATGGCAATGAGTTGCTGCTTCCGTAAGGCCTTCACTCAGTGGCAATGGCAAGGCAGCAAGGCCCAGCTGCTTACATCTTTGTCTAGCCGGATTTCCCAACACCCTTGTAAGCAATCTGACAGCTCAACAGCTGCGTGGCTGCAAAACGGTGTAAAAATATGCGGAGGTTTCAGAAGCATGTGCTTCAAGGTATTAAATGAAGGTGAAGCAAGTGACAATGGATGCGTAAAAGCGGGCGACTATGAAAGAGGGATGATGGGCCCAGTGCTCTTTGGCTGGAATTATGAGTTCACAAAATCGCACTGCGAAGTGCTCTTTTGAGACTTGACCAGCCCGGAGTTCTGGCCCCCTCAAAAGAAGGGTGTATGTACATGCATACATACAGACAATGCATACATACTTGCATACGGACATACCTGTACACTGCCGCGCCGGGTTGTGCCCTGAACTGTGCCAGACCACACTTTACAGCGTGATGGTCGTACCGGAGGCAGGCTAGCGCACGTGGCACTCCAGGTAAAGCGCCGGCCAAGTAGAGCGCCAGCTGCCAGACCATCACGTAAGGTCACCGGAGGATCCATGCCCGAACCATGATTGCTTCAATCCGCGAGCGCAGAAGGCCACCACAGCTTCCACACACTGACGAGCGCGTCCATCCACCAGCACACAAAGTCACAACAGCTTCCATGTCCATACATTCATATGCAGACCTACATACTTACATGCAGGCAGACAGACAGACAGACCGACATACACATGCCCGCGTACACACGTAAACAGATACACCTATATGCAGATGCACGCGCACACACACACAGAGCCACATGAACACGTACGGGTACGTGTGCAAGTACACACACAGAGATATTGGGCAGGGGCTAATAGCACAGGTATAAGTGTGGAGCCTCGGCATAGCCATTGAGACTGGAATCCGTACGATTCTTTTTCCGCCCTGGTGTCATGCCATGGGTTGGGCGAATTGTCGATTCGCATCGTACACATGCATCAGCTTCTGAACATTTGGGGCTGCGGTTGAAACCCCAGCAGATCTGGCTTTATTGTGGTCTTTCGAAGTTGAGATCTTCACTGCCCGTTCAAGTTCCTGTTGTGGTTCAGAAGATGGGGTCCCCCGCCGGGACTGGGACGAGGTTCAGCAAAGGCACAGTCACACCCTATACTAGTTACTAGGCCCACGCACAATTCATCGGAGGGCGTTGTTACCCCTGATCGCTTCGACTTCTTTACGCTGCGCTCTGCAGTTTCGTCTTGAGGTTGGGCCTTTGCTGATGGCAATTCCTGCTTAGCCGGGCAGGTCGCACGACAACTAAGAGTGTGCTGGCTAGTATTTATCAAGCATCGGTTTGCTTGCGCAAAAGTTGGTCACTAAGATTTGAGGACCGTCTGCGTTTGCCGCCCTTTGGAATCTCTAAAGACCACACCCTATCTCACATGCGACGGACGAGGCAACTGGCCAGACTTCTGCCATAGAGGAAAGTACTTGGGGGGGGTGCCTGCAGGGAGGCCGTCAATGCCAGCCGTGGGCAAAAGGAAATGAAGCATCTAAAAGTACTTGAGGGAGGCCTGTTTTACAGAGGGCGATCTTGCTGTACCCACGACATGCCACCCTGAGATACAGCCATATACAGCCCGGGACGAGCATGTAGCCTCCACGTCCCCTGTGTCAAATCTCGACATGATCTCTATTATAATTTCTGGGATGTGTACGTTATCCGTCGTTCCCACACTCCCCGTGCGTACACATGCAGCGACACACGTCGGCTGCCAGTTTAAGGTGTTGTTTTTGCAGGACGTACGTATGTACGTATACGCTAGTATAATACGATCGTATATGCATACCGATACCCGCTTACTTGCGTTCTTACGCATGATATACCAGCCCTTACCAGCCCCCTCAGGACAGTTATAGGTCTAGAGGTGCGCTGGTACACTGCAGTACCAAACCTCAATCTACTACGTGTACTTACGTACAGACGTACATACGTGCGTTCCCCATTTTGCAGATGCGTGCGTACACATGTTCCCCCCCAGAGAGAAGCCTCTTCATACTAATCATAGCAGCAACGTCACGCAAGCCAAGCATCTCAGCCCCTGCAATGCAAACACATTCCATCTCAATGGCATTCAACATTATTGCCGTGCTTGGGGCATTCAGAAGACGTCAAAACTGCTACCAATGTCAAGATTGCTTGGTGTCAAGGTTCCTTTGCTTGTCGATGTTGCGAAAAAGCCGAGTTCTGGATGCAGGGTTTTTCTCCCACACGGGGTTTTCCCTGCATCTCAGACGAAGTTTGACCCTGTTTACTATGTGGAAGCCTCGGCTTGATCATCTGGGAGCCGGCAGTCGCCGAAACTGTTCGACGCGAGCTCTGCCGTGCATGTGATGGTGGCCAGTCGTCGCAGTACATTTGAGGGTCGTTGTGCGGCACTTTCTGGTATGCGCAACTGATTTACACAACTGATTTACACCATTGCCATATATCATATCGCAACCTTGCATGCTTGTATGTATGTACGTACCTGCGACGCCGAACACGGGGGTACGTATGTTCTTGTATACTTCTACGTACATTAAGTAAAGCATGACCACGGTCCCTTCAGTGAACTAGCCTGCCCGGGCTGGGGGATTTGGCGGTGCCTGATTTTGAGTCGTTCTTCTCCGCAAGCCGCAAGCTCGTCCTTCATCGTCCTTCTCTCCGGTCCCGCTTCGAAGAAGAGCACTCCTTACACGACCGCGCGGCGAAAGACGACTCGAGCATGAAAGCAGACGTCCAGATCTGTCTTTCCGTACACTTCCGTCTTCCGGTTTTGCATGTCAGTCTTGAGCAGGCTTTTTGGCCGCTCGCGTTCAGAGCACCACCAGGCACCACCACCAGCCACCACCCAATCCACTCAGTGACAACGCATAAAACAACACCGAGGTGGCAATTAGTCAAAGGCAGTAGCCGTGATGCTGAGGGAGTTGGCTTTGAGCCGCGAGGTTTCACGTTTGGGCCGCGTCTGGGATTTGGCGTCGAGGTCTAGTGGTGCAGGATTACATCAGGTTGAAGGCAGTAGGTTAGGTTGGCTTCCAATAGGTTAGGCCAAGGGTAGGTTGGATGATGACAGGTTGGGATAGGCCGTGGACTGGCGACATGGGTCTTTGGTTCACCAATTATACTTTTTCAGTTCACCCCTGTTGTCCCATTGGCGAACCTGCAACTGCAAAGCGGGGGAACGCGAATGTTCTTGTCACTCACGGTTTGAGCTGTGAACGTGCAAAGTTGTACGGGTGGTGCCGCATCTGGCAGGATACACGGGCATGCTCATCAACATGGCCGTTTCCTTGGCAGTTCAGTTGTAACTTGTCATGGCACCTGTTTGCCGTTCCACGACATTTCCAATGGCGCAGACATTCCGACGAGGTGGTGGCAACAAACAGCTCAGCACGTGGCATGTGTGCTGGTTGTGGGTTTCAAACGCTCTGCACAATCCCGAGGCTCACGAAGTTTGCTGGCACGAGGGACAGACGGCATGCTGAACAGTTGTAGATCCTTGACAGGGCTTTCCAACATCCAGAACTTGGACTTGTGGACACCTTTTCTATGTTTTATGACCTCCAGCAGAAAGCCCCCAACAAGGCTGGCACACCGCTTTCACTCAGTGCTGTCTTGATGACTTGCTGCCAGGTCCAAGCTGCTGACACTAGGCTTCTTGTGGATCCCAAACCATCGCAGCCAGTCGACTCTGCCCCTGCAGCGCCCGCCGCTTACGGACTGTCGCTTGCACATCCCGAATGACGGACGGTCTGCTGCAGGGACGTTCTGACTCTGCAGGTTGGCAATCAGGCCCGACATAACCATGCAGCATGACTGTCAACTGTGGAATGTGAAGACAGGCCCACTTCAGGCC